AAACAGGCCAATCAGGACGTCAGCAGGATGTCGTCATCACAGAACAGCATACCGCCTCTTTATGGCTCAAAACAAAGCATAACAGAAAATATCAGAAATCATAAAAACAAAAAGAGCGTTTTGCTAATGTGCTTTGCAAACAACAGCACGTCTTAAAGATAAAGAATGTGGTACTATTATGTATTTCTAAAACATTGTGCTTGATTCATAAAGCATTAGGGAATTCTGCATTTTCTAATAAGTTAGTATAGGCTATTCTAAATGATGTGCTTTTTACAAAATGAATACTAGGGATGGCTGTCGATCATGTAAAATAACGTTCTGCAATAAGAGCTACAGAAATATAAAAAGACTATATTTAAAGAGGAATTGTATCTTACATTCACACATGGGGTGAAGAAAAAAGCACACTAAATAAGGAAAAGGAAATCATCAGCAAAGAGTTAAATGATCAGTAAGACTATATGGGATGGGCAACATCGGTCCTGAAATGCCGCTGTTCTGCAGAGTTTATTTCCAACCTTAATTAAACACACATGAACAAGATTGAGTATTAAGACTGAGGTTGTTTTTTTTTTTATAAAAAAAAATTCCATATCTTCTCCTATTTTTCCATTGTTATTATTTAGTAAATCATTGTTAACTTTTTTCAGACATACTATTGATATATTTTGTATACAAAGTTGTATATCATTAATGTCAACTCTCTGAGGTTTGAAATTATCATGAAAGTAAAAAAAAAAAAAAACATGGAAAAAATACTTAAAGGCACAATTGCTCTCTGCTACAACCAGCAGGCCATTATTGGTAGTGCAGGAACAAGCGCCTTCAAGCACAAATAGTTTCATCGTGTCAGCTCTAAAGAAACAATGACATTCATAATGCCATACACAGTGGGCTAGTGCTGTAGACATTTATAGAAACATGCAGTGGCAAAACATGCAGGACATTTCAAAGCTGCCATACTGACCAAAATGACCATACTACTAGCCTAATCCAGGAAGAAGAATATGTTGTGATATCTAAAGCCTATTCCCAAGAAAGTAGTCTATAAAATATAGTAGTCTATATACTAGCCTATAAAAATAAATAATAAATAATTATGACATATACTTAGTGTCATGGTTTAATTTTATGTTCATAGTTCATTTATTTTATTTTGTAGTCATGGCTTTGTTTCCTGTTTTGTCATGTGATTCATTTATCGCATCATGTCATGCGCTTCACTTGGTTCATGTGTTATATTCTCATTGGTTCTTGTATCATCAGTTCAACTTCTCATTACTGCAATTATCTAATCAACCAATCACATGGCAGTTCCTTCAATGCATTTAGGGGTGTGGTCCTGGTCAAGACAATCTCCTGAACTCCAAACTGAATGTCAGAATGGGAAAGAAAGGTGATTTAAGCAGTTTTCATTCATCTACATTTCACTCTTTTTCCTATTTGTAGTGGAGATGAGTGGTACCCGGTGGGGTCTTCTGCTGTTGTAGCCCATCCGCCTCAAGGTTGTGCGTGTTGTGACTTCACAAATGCTTTGCTGAATACCTCGGTTGTAACGAGTGGTTATTTCAGTCAAAGTTGCTCTTCTATCATCTTGAATCAGTCGGCCCATTCTCATCTGACCTCTAGCATCAACAAGGCATTTTCGCCCACAGGACTGCCGCATACTGGATGTTTTCCCCTTTTCACATCATTCTTTGTAAACCCTAGAAATGGTTGTGAGTGAAAATAATAATAATAATAATAATAATAATAAAAACTTTATTTTATATAGTGCCTTTAAAAGTAGTATCTCAAAGCACTTTACATAAAAAATAATGGAATTAGACAGACACAACAGTCTAGGCAATAAGAACTAAACAAGCAATAAAATAAAAGGCAAATAAAATAACAATCACAGTGATCACACAATCACATAAAAGCCACCCTAAAAAAGTACGTTTTAAGGGAGGATTTAAAAACTCTAAGTGATTCTGCATTTCTAATCTCAGAGGGCAGGGAATTCCACAATTTTGGAGCTAAAGAAGAAAAAGCCCGATCACCCATAGTTTTTAGCCGTGTTGTTTGGACGGTTAAGACCAGCTTCAGAAGATCGCAAAGCACGTGTAGGAGAGTAGGGGGTTAAGAGCTCACGCAAATATTGAGGGGCCAAGTTATTCAGGGCCTTATAAGTGAGCATGAGAATTTTAAAATCAATACGAAAACTGACTGGAAGCCAGTGCAATTTTTCCAGGATTGGTGTAATGTGTTCCCTAGCACTGGTCCCAGTCAGAATTCTAGCAGCCGAATTTTGAACCAACTGTAATTTACTTAGGGTAGCTTTAGAAACCCCAGCCAGCAAAGCATTACAATAATCAATTCTTGAAAAAACAAAAGTATTGATTAACTTTTCAGCCACAGAGAATGTCAACAAAGAACGTAATTTGGCAATGTTTCTGAGATGAAAAAATGATGTTTTGACTGTGTTACGAACATGATGGTCAAATGTTAAATTGGCGCCAAATATCACCCCCAGATTTTTTAGTTTAGTTTGTAATTTCAAAGCTGAGCCATCCACACTTAAAGTTATGGACTCTGCTTTACGCAACTGATGAGGTGAACCAATAAGCATCACTTCAGTCTTATCACTGTTCAGACAGAGAAAGTTTTCAGACATCCATTTCCTAATCTCAGTAAAACACTGAGAAATATAAGACACAGGCATATTGACATCAGGTTTTGAATGTAAATAGATCTGAGTGTCATCGGCATAAAAGTGAAAAATTAAGACCAAGTGTTCTTAAAAGTTGCCCAAATGGAAAAATGTAAATACTAAAAAGTAACGGGCCCAAACTGATCCCTGGGGAACACCAGAGCGCACCACACCGACCTCAGACTTGTAATCACCCGTCACAACAAACTGCTTGCGATCAGAGAGATAGGACTTAAACCAATTTAATGCAGAATCAGAAACTCCAAAATGGTCTCTAAGCGATTGATTAAAATCGAATGATCTATAGTGTCAAAAGCGGCACTAAGATCAAGAAGAATCAGTATAGATAGACGGCCAGAATCAGATGCCATTAACAAATCATTAGTCACTTTGACCAGTGCTGTCTCAGTGCTGTGCAGTTTCCGAAATCCAGACTGAAGTGGCTCAAAAAGATCATTAGCAGAAAGATGAGACAGTAGTTGAGAAGCCACTGTTTGTTCTAAAATTTTGGCGAGGAATGGAAGATTAGAGATGGGTCGAAAATTATTCAGATTATCAAAGTCCGTGTTGTTAGTTTTTGGTACAGGGGTGACAGCAGCAGTTTTAAGTGCAGCTGGCACAACACCAGTGCACAGGGAGTTATTGATAATTCTCAAAACAAAGGGAGAGAGGGAATCAATCAAAACATGATTTAAAAAGGCAAGATGGTATAGGATCAACTCTAGAAGTTGAGGCTTTCAGTTTTGAAACCGTATTACACAGAGACTGGGAATCATGAATTGCAAAATTAGAGAGCGAGACACCAGAAAATGCAAATGTATCTGAAGAGGAGGCAGCAATGGTATGAGTGGCAACAATGTGGTTTCGAATATTGTCAATTTTGGTGCTAAAAAACTCCAAAAACATATTACAAAGGTGAGTTGAAGCAGGAACATTAGAGACGCTGTGATTTTTAAGCAGCTTGTTGATTGAGTGAAACAGTTTTTTGGGGTTTCTCTGATTGCTGACAATTATATGAGAAAGATAAACAGATCTTGCTGACACAATTTCAGACTTATATTTGAATAAGCTGTCTTTCCAGGCCTGGTGATGAACAGCTAAACCTGAGGTGCGCCATCTACGCTCCATTTTGCGACACAAAGTCTTCATGGCACGCAGATCATCATTGTACCAAGGAGCGGAGCGTGCAAAAGAAACAGATCGTGATTTCCAGGGAGCCAGCGTATCCAGGCCAGACAACAGTACAGAATTCAGCATTGAAACATTGTCATCCAGATCATCAGACAGAGAGTCACAGTTTAAAAGAGAGTCAATAAAGTCAGAAAAATCAGAGGGCTCAATAGATCTCCAATTCCTATAATTTATAATGCGTGAAGTGTTTGTATACATGACAGGTATTTCCAAATTAAAAATGACAGCCCGGTGATCAGACAGACCTAAATCAGTGGTAGTTAACTGAGTCACAAATGAACCACTGGAAATCACAAGGTCTAAGGTGTGGCCTTTGTCATGCGTAGGACAGTCCACTAGTTGGTCTAATTCAAAGCACTCCAATATGGACAGAAAGTCTTTTGTTATTGCCGAGTCTTTTATGTCCATATGAATGTTGAAATCCCCCAGTAAAAGAATTCTTTCAAATCTGAGGAAGAGAAAAGACAACATATCTGATAATTCAGATAGAAAGTCTTTATTAGTCCCAGTAACTGAGCAGATTGTGAAATACTCAGATACCAACAACCATGCCACGCTCAAAATTGCTTAAATCACCTTTCTTTCCCATTCTGACTTTCAGTTTGGAGTTCAGGAGATTGTCTTGACCAGGACCACACCACTAAATGCATTGAAGCAACTGTGACTGAAGCATGTGATTGGTTGATTTGATAAATGCATTAATGAGAAATTGAACAGGTGTTCCTAATAATACTTTAGGTGAGTGTTATTATATATTCATTACAAGTGAACCTCAAGAAACTTATACCCAAAATGTTTTATTTTTATTTAATTTTTTATTTTTTTACACTTAAACACAGAAACACACATTACAAGATTTTGGCTTGGTTATTTTTCATAACACTTTATTTGGATAGTCCACTTTAGACTACATTTCAAATAACTGTCATTAGATTACCGGTATTAAAAGACTGTATGCTTAATATCTGCTAACACTTTATTTTGATGCTCCCCAAAAATATATATAGTAAGTAACGTGGCAACTACAAGTCAACTTATTCTACTAACCCGAACCCTTACACTTAACCAACAGTCTACTAATACTGAAATGAGAGATAGTTGACATGTAGTTACTTATAGTTAATAGTAGAATGTCTAAAGTGGACTATCCAAATAAAGTGTTACCCTATTTTTACATAAATGTATCATATAGTACCACATCAATTATATAAAGATGCTAATTACAAATAAATGTATATTAAAAATTATAATATACATGTGCTGGTTATGTATAATCTTTTCCCTCCAAAAAGTTTAGTGGAAAGAAAATGGATTCCAAAAAAGAAAGAAAAAAAGAAAAGATGTCCTCAACATGGAATGACATCTATGAATGTCATTCATAAACTTTACGAGGACCACAGCGCTTGCCAGCGACAGTTTAAACGCAGCTTTGTATTAAAACAGTATAATTGGATGTATTTCTATATACTGTAAAGTAATGGCAGCCATCATTGGCTAATTTGCACAGATGGCAGAACCTATTTTGGTAAGATCTGCTTTGACAACGTCATACCGCCTTTTCCATTCCTCTGGTGACAATGAAGATGGGTTAAACTCCAGGAACTTAAACGCATCCTTATTCTGCAAGCTAAAGGCCCTCTTTGCCATCAGACAGGATTCACCAAAGCCCTTCCAATTCTGAAAGATTTGAGATACAAAATGAACCACAATATAGAAAATGCAATGAAATTAACTCCCATAAACTGCAACTGAACATTTACTCAGTGTGTAAGTTACCTCTTGCGCTGAATCAATATGCTTTAGAACAATCTCCTTCAGTTCATTCTCCTCAATGAAGTGTTCATCAGCGAAGGTCTCGCTTCTGAGAGATTCCAGAAATACTAGCACAGATTTCCAGAACATATTATGATGAAGCAGAGTTTGTTGGATTTGACAAAGGTACTTTTGGGCATCATTCAGATAGACAGTTTCGGGTATTGAACCTTGAAAAACAATATGAAGCAGACATTAATCATTTAGGTTTTTGACCATTGCCACACACAGATCTAGAAAGAATCTCACCCTTTTCCGCCTTCTTGTTTGCCAACTTCAGCTGAACATCAGTCAGCTTGACATGGATATTGTGCTCCTTGCTTTTCAGGTTTGACTTCTGAGCAGCGAGTTGAGCTTTTTCATTGGCGAGAGCATGGTTTGGTGAAGGTCTAGTTTGAAATATGGATTTAATAATGTTTCCAACAAATGGAACAACGGCAGCCAGGAAACTGAAACCAAACCGTCTCCTAGAAGCAATTCTGCCATGAGATCGGTTTATCTTTGACTCAATTTGTCCGATTTCCTCCAAGGTTTTCCTCAGTTCCATCTGAAGATCTCTCACCACCTTCTCTAGAGCCTCTATCTCCTTAGTAGTTTGTGCATTTTTTTTTTCTGTCTCATCCTTTTCAAGAATCACATCACTGGTGCAGGAAGCCACACTGCGGTTGTTTTTCTCATATCTGATAATGGCAGATTTCAGATCATGCAGTTCAATCACAGTCTGTATGGGTTCATCGTAATGCTTTTGATGTGTAACACTTCCTAAATTTTTACCTGTCCACCATCTGTTCCACTTTGTTAACAATTTCTGCTATCCATTCTCTTGCTTTTTCCAAAGACATTGTAGCCTGAATGTCTTCATTATTTTCAACAGCGAGTTTCAGTTGAGGGAACATTGAGGAAACCATTTGGTTACTTGTGTCCACACACTGAAAGACAGCAAGATGTTTACATGTTATTTCCTTGCATGTGCCAAATCAGATTTTTGAGCCAACTTAAATCAATAATTAAGTTCTGTTATAGATAATTGAGTTGTTCTATGTTGAAAATTAATCGTCCACCAAAGTCATCTAGCTCCTTTTGCTGATTTTACACCAAAATATGCAGGTGGATGGGGGAATCTGTCCACATTTTTGCAAAATATTAATCTATCAACACAACCAAAGAGTTTTAGTGGATACTACAATAATGTCAAATAATTTATCATAAATATTGTATATATATCATTCCCTTATCTCCACCAGAAGACAAAAAGTTCAAAGTTAAATCAAAATAACTTTATTTTACATATCAGACCTGTATTAAATTAAATGGACATTGTTTTATCTGCTGATATCTACCTACTGAAAATTAGAGAAATTATCCCAAAAGTACAAGTTTCTATAAATTAAACGGAATTAAATTAAACTAAAATTAAGTAATTAATTGCAGTGAAATAAATACATTTCAGACATTAATGTTTTAACCCTTTACCTGTCAGCCCCCTTTTTGATAATTGACATTAAAATGCACTATACAAACTTAAATGGTTGTAATTCAAGAATGCTTTGGAATATAGACCTTAGTTTTGTCTTGTTTTAAAGAAAACAATCAGCAGATTATTATTAAATTGAAAGCACTTAACAAAAATTAAACTATGAAAAAGTTATGGAAGTTATAATTTACAGTAAATCAAATATACTTTATTAATATATTTTTTTAATATTAAATATATATTTTACAAAATATGTTTTACTATAAAATTACTATAAAATGAAAGCTATATATCTAACCAAGTTGTGTTCCAAATTTGAAGTTGATATCACAAAAATTGAAGTTCCCATGAGATTTTGTTTAGGCGTTATACCAAAAATAGCCACCGGGTGCCATTGAATTCCATTAAATTTAATTGTATGAATTTTGCCATAACAAATTAATAAATTTCTATCCAAATATCACTTCTGTCACTAAATATGGAACCTTGAGACTCAGACCTTTCTGACAATATGTGTTTTGTCAAGATTAGAAAAGGTTTTCATAATAAATTATGAAAGATGATGCGCAAAAGGGGAGGGGCCTAATAAAAAAATACCGTTTCTATGGCAACGCAACGTCCAATTTCAAAACGGTTTTCACAGGATGAATTCTGAGTTCGTAAGCTTTCAAATGATACCTACTACTTATGATTGTCACGGTGTGGCTCTGGCTGAAGGACGAGGAGACCGGAGTATCGGTGAGAACAGGTTTTTAATATATATATATATATATATATATATATATAACCAGGCAGGCAGACAGGACCACGGGCACCACACGGGTTCACAATAAACTTCCATAGACATCGACCGACAAAGACAGACTAAAACTGAAGGAACTAAATACACAGAAGAATCAAACATAATGGGGTGACAACAGGTGAAACAGATGAACAGGACGCTGAACGGGAGGCTGATGAGGGAGTGAGTTCAGGTGTGCAGACGAGAGGATCATGGGAAGTGTAGTGCAGGAGACGCAGACAGGATGGTTCAGACGCAGACTGTGACAATGATAACTACTAAAATATGTGATATAATAATAATAAAAAATTATATATTTTACTTTTTAGAGGACTTCTCACCTTACTTTTTAAAATATAATTTTATAAGTTTTTATTGACAAATACTAATTATGTTTTATTATGAACTTTTAGCACTAAAAACCAAAGTTTCAATTATTAAAAGTGTGTGCGTCGACTTTTTGTGACAAAGGTCAGAAACTCCTGTAATGCCGTCGATTTTTTTGAGGCGCACTCTTGTCATAAATTCATATATTACTGTTCATTCATAATTTGTAAGAAAAAAAAAACAGACCTAAAATATCTATTTAGGAGTCTTAGACCTTTCCAACGATATATAGTTTGTCATGACAAGATTAGGATTTAATAGTAATATAGTGAAGTAAAGTTAGGTTGCCCGTATATGGGCGAGTGACAGTTAAAAACAACAACAACAAAAAAAAAACTCATTTGCTGTGAGAAAATTAATAACTCACGCAGAAAAATCAAATGAATTATTACAAGCTACACTCACAACATTTCTATTAATTCCAATGCATTTTCAATGCTACTCCTTGAAATTCTTCTTGTTTTGTACCTGAATTCAAATTCAATCCAAATCTATCCTCGATTTAGTAGCTTATTTTAATCTGCCTCTTTAGTTTGACTTCAATAAGAGAAAGGTCACATTGACTTTACCTTCTGCAGAAGAGCCTCAGATGAGGCAAAGAGATTCTGCGTTTCAAGAGCACACTCTCGGAGAACCCTCTCCAACTTGGGGAACTTAGCCAAACAGAGATAGGAGAGATGGTAGAGCAAAGCCGTACGCTCCGCTGATGGTAGAAGCTCCTGAAAGAAGCCGAGTTGATTTTCCTCCATCACTTCTGTAGAATTACAAATGTAATACTTACTCAAATACCACAACGTAAGCATGTAAATTTGTGAAGACTCAGAAATTTTGATTACATTTTATTGGTCAAAAACTATTCCTACACTTCTACTCACCTTCAGGGACTGGCATTCTCCAAGCCATGGTCATTTTTATTGGCCTGTAAAGAAATTACAGTGGCTGAAAAACAACAAAAAAAGTAACAAAATGGCAAGAATCACTACACCAATGATGGATGGAGCATGTCAGTCAAAGTTACCTGCAAGAGGAGTGCATCTTTAATGCAGTTGTTGATACCAGCAAAGGGAATTTATACTCTCTGGTGCCTCCTTAAAAATGTTTGGAACAAAGATTACATAAAACTGCTTGTCTAAGAACAGAGGGAGTATCTTTTGGGGGATTAGGAGGCGTCCTTAAAGGAACAGTTCATCAAAAAAAAAAATATATATATATATATATATATTATTTTTTTAGATTTACTGACAATGAACATTGGATCTTGCTATATGTTCTATTTACCTATCGGTCTATCAGAAAACTGATTGGGTGTTCTTTAGACATATAATAAGTTGATTTTTCTGTGCCAGCAGTTCCTGTTTGGACCTGTTGATGACACGCTTGATTTATACCCACTTTACAAACCTGCACAAACCTGCCTTGCTTTAAGTCAAGGGTTCCCAAACTATATTTACCGGGCCACCTTTTTGCAGATAAAAGAATGTTCAACCCCCCACAACTGTAACCCTGTCTTGAACATCGGGAAGGTAGGGGGGTGTAGGAATCGTATACAAGATTTAGGCAACTCAATATCAGTCAGTCGTATCTGACATAAAAGTTCCGTGAATTAAACCGTGACCACCAGATGCAATAACTACAGAAAAATGTATTAAAATAAAGAAAGGGAATCACCCTTTCTTTAAAAAGTGAAAGAATCACACTTTAAATTAATTTAGCCAAGGGCAGTCTGGTAGGCAGTCGAAATTCGACACAACACCTGTTATCGTATAGAATTAAAGTCTCAGAAGTAAATTCAATTAATGACATAAGCTAGTAAAATTGAGTCATTGCAATAAACACTGATATATGTTATTGATTATCCAGTGCATAAACCAGGAGCTTTGTTCTGATGACAGTCTTCTTAGACATGGGTGAGCAGCTACTTCAAGATTATTAATTTTAAATTGGATAATAGGAAATTATACATATGCATTCATGATGTCATAGTATGGATTCGTTTCACTCCTGCCACTGTGACGTTTCCACATTATATTCATCATCATGTAAAGTTGCTTAAGGTAGTTCAACCAAAAATGAATTTACTCACCCTCAAGTTGTTCCAAACACGTGTGAGTTTCTTTCTTCTGTTGAAAACAAAAGAAGATATTTTGATGAATGTTGGTAACCAGACAGTTGATAGACCCCATTGGCTTCCATGGTAGGAAAAAAAAATAGTCAATGGCTGCAGTCAACTGTCTGGTTACCAACATTCACCAAAATATCTTCGTTTGAGTTTTTATTTTTGGGTGAACTATCCCTTTAATGTTGTATTACTTAATTCCACGTATTGTTTTTATTATCAAGTCTATATATGTCACCATTCTCTTCTGTTTAGTTTAGTTTGAAATTTCAGTTGATTTTCATTTTTCACATGTCTTCTTTGTTCAAATTCCCACCACTTATTTCGTTTGTCTCCTTGGTTAGTGTTAAAATTAGTTCAAATGTGTCAGCTGTATGTGGTTTAATTATCCTCGTTTGTGTTCCTTCTTAAGTTGTTGCCTCACCTGCATTGCTTGTTCTGTATTGTTTGTGTCTGCATGCTTTTTTGCATGTTTGCTGTTTGGATTATTCGAATAAACCTTTTGAGCTATATTCTTCATCTTTATTGAATTTAGGCGTTACAGAATACCGGGTCAAGAAAATGGATTGTATAGTGATGTTTATTGTCCTGGCTCCAGGTTTTTGTTATCTCCAGCCCCCTTGAAGATGAGACCCTGAAGACATTGTTCTGGATCGGGAAAACCTTCCACCACCCTATCGACCTCTGGAGAGCGTCACATTCCGATCCAGGACACAGCTAGAACCTACAACCCTAGACCGTGGAGAACTCTTGTGTGTGCCCCCCTTCTTCAAGGGCACCTGAAGAACACATCGTCCTCTTTTTCATCTTCAGGGGCAGAGTTGAAAGCACTCATAATGATGCATTCATTGCAACATACTCTGTTCTTGTTTGTTTCTCGATCGAGCAATAAGAATCTAGTGTTGAACGGCGCACTCAAGGCTCTCAAGGATGTTGAATGCATGCATTGCATTGCAGTCATGGCAGTAGACTCTGTTCTACCTTGTTTCTCATTCCAGATCAGAATCTAGCATTTGACAAGCTTAGTTATAGTTCAGCATTGTTAGTACTCACCAAGGCCGTGCACAGACATTTTGAGGGGCAGTGGCCTTAGCCAAAAAAAGGGGCACTAAGGGGGTAGTTGCTTGTTAACACAAATTATTCAGTTATTACAAAATAATTCTAAGCTAATTCTAAGAACGTGAATATGTTGTACAAGTTGTTAGCATTAGTAGAAGACCAAGAGCAAAACATTACCGACATAAATGCAAAAAACAAAAACAAAAATAACGAATAATTTCGCATATTCAACCACTGTCTTGCATGGAAGCTTGTTTCCGCCACTGAATAAAAATAAATACATAAATAAATAAATAATTGCGACTTTTTATCTCAAAATTGCGAGATATAAAGTCAGAATTGGGTGTTATAAAGTCGCAATTCGGAGAAAAAAAGACAGAATTGCGACTTTTTTTCTCACAACTGCGAGTTTACATCTCGCAATTCTGACTTTATAACACATAATTGCGAGTTTATATGTCGAATTTCTGACATCTTTTCTCAAAATTGCGAGATAAAAACTCGCAATTGCGAGTAGCCTAATCAAGCCAATTCTAAGGGGGAAAAAATACTAACTTTTTTCCCCTCAAAATAGTTTATATCTCGCAATTCTGACTTTATATCATGCAATTGCGACTTTATATCTAGCAATTCTTACTTTATATCTCGCAATTCTGACTTTGTAACACGCAATTGTGACTTTATAACACCCCATTCTTCATATCTCGCAATTCTGAGAAATAAAGTCAGAATTGCGAGATGTAAAGTGCGGACTGCGGAGCGAGCAGGAAAACCTGGAGGGGATTAGCGGAATCAAAGGAATGCTTTGAGCGAAGCGGAGCAGGTGGGCAAGAGGGGCACCTCAGTTGATGAGGGCAGAGGGGCAGTGGCTCTAGCCACCTGGCCACCTCCCTGTGCACGGCCCTGGTACTCACCTCGGTTTAGAGAGGGTCAATATGCTAAGTACTCCATACTGCTGGAACAATGATCTTTTTGGCTAAGATAAAATAAGATTGGCCTTCTGATGGCTCTTTATTGCCAGATTGAATGGCCCTCTGTGGGCTTCCTTGACAGACCTTGTTCAGGCATTAGGACTCTCCTCGCTTTAGATTGTCTTCGAGTTTCCTTCTTTGTGCAAATTAATTTGAATTGCTTTTTCCTTGTGTTCTGTATATTGTAGATCCTGTATCTGTGAGCCTCCTTGATAAGCTTAATTTCAGTTCAGTGTTACAAATTAAGTAAAATTTCTACTCAAAGAGAACAAAACCATCCATAACAATTAACAGGGATCCAATCAACAAGATCCCTAGAGTCCCCGCTATCACTCCCAAGGCTTCAAAACATACTGTAAAGTGAAAAAGTGAATTTATCAAACATAAGTAAATAGTGAGCAACCTAAATTTCAGGAGGTTGAAAAGCCAAAACAAATAGCAAAACAAAGCTAACCAATTAAAAGAAAACTAACCTAGAAATCTGATAAACAAAAGATACGAAAGCTTCCTTCCCTACTTACCAATCAGGTCACTCCTTAGCAGCTCCACCTGTGAGTCATTACAGTTAGAGTAAACAAGGGAGAGAGAGAGAGAGAGAGACAGAGAGAGAGAGACCAGGGAAAACTAGACCACGAATATATACATCTTCCCCAACAACACAAATTTAAAAATTCACTCCAGCGTAACATAAGCATTGGTAGAACTCCCCTCATTTTGGAGGGTTATGTTTAAGTACTCACACCTCCAAATCCGAGGCCATGGTCCTCAGTCGTAAAAGGGTGGCTTGCCCACTTCAGGTTGGTGGGGAGATCCTGCCTCAAGCGGAGGAGTTCTTGGGGTTTTGTCCACGAGCGAGGGAAGGATAGAACGGGAGATTGGCAGACGGATCGGTGCAGCTTCAGCAGTAATGCGGTTGATGTACCGGTCTGTTGAGGTGCTGGAGCCGCAAGGCGAAGCTCTCGATTTACCGGTCAGTCTATGTTCCTTCTCTCACCTATGGTCGTGAGTTTTGGGTCATGTCCGAAAGGACAAGATCCCGGATACAGGTGGCGGAAATGAGCTTTCTCCGCAGGGTGGCTGGGCGATCCCTTAGAGATAGGCTGAGAAGCTCGGTCACTCGGGAGGAGCTCAGAGTAAAGCCGCTGCTCCTCCACATCGAGAGGGGTCAGCTGAGGTGGCTCGGGCATCTGTTCTGGATGCCTCCTGGAAGGGAAGGTGTTCCGGGCATGTCCCACTAGGAGGAGACCCCGGGGAAGACCCAGGACACACTGGAGGGACTATGTCTCCCAGCTGGCCTGGGAACACCTCGGTGTCCCCCCGGAAGAGCTGGAGGATGTGTCTAGGGTGAGGGAAGTCTGGGGATCTCTGCTTAGACTGCTGCCCCCTTGACCCGGCCCCGGATAAGCGGAAGAAGATGGATGGGTGGATGGACCCTAAGAGGTCCTTTGATTGTTAGAGTCAAGCAGGAAGGTTTTTTGGTGAGTCTCCTTGACAAGTTTCAGCTGAGCATTGCTAGTCCTCCCCTCGTCTTCTAGAGGGTTATAATGCTAAGTCCTCTGCTACCTATAGCTATTGTTCAGCTCTGTGTCAAGCTGAATGGCTTTATGAGCCTGCTTGAAAAGTTCAGTAAAACTAGTTGAGTTGTATGGCTCTCGACAAGCCACCTTGACTAAACAACATTGTTGAAATGTCATGCTATGCTCTTCACTCTTTAGAGCACTGTTGAACTTTATTATAAAGAGGAATGGGTCCAGGTGAGCTTCCTTGACAAAGAGTGTTGTTAGGTCTCCTCTCACATAGAGAGCCGTCCTGCTGAGGCTTCCGCTCCCCACAGCTTCTTTTAGCTCCCAGAGCTATTATTAGATACCAGGGTTTGTTAATTAGGTCCCCTCTTGTTTTACAGTGGCATCCTGCTGCTCTCGATAGAGCTCCTCCTTCGAGATATATCCAGCTG